ATCACTATTTTCGATTTTCGAACGAGGCGCGCCATCCGGTGAGTCAATATAGGAAAAGTGACGTCACAGTTGGGGATGGGGTGAGGCGAAATCGTGACTTAATGAGACAATGGGGGCCGTCGGGCGTCGGGTCAAAAAATGGTCCAAAAAAGCGTGACGTTATTTGTGAACGGCCCCTTGTGCTAACGAGGATCTAAAATAGTTGTCGTCTTTTAACTATTGATGAGTATTCATTTTCTACTAACGTGACTACATTTCAAACAGAAAATTTGTACAGGAAAATATGCAAACCATAATTTTAAGTTTACATTTTTCTTTTCCCATTGCAAGTTTTTGGTCTTTTGATATCAAAAATTAATTCTCGGAAAATAAATAAAGAATTGAAAAAAAGGAACAAATTTTGAATTGAGTCTGTTTTGTGTTTTGTGATGTTATTTTGAGATTTTCTTGACACAATTTTCAGTTTTGGGACGTCGTGCGTATCGGCTTGCCATAATAACGGCGAAAGAGTATATTCGCCGCCGATGCCGGTACTGCCACGAGATAAGACTTCCGTGTGAGCAAACCAAGTGGCCCTCGCCACACGAGGCATCATCATCGGGCTGAAGGGGAGGCAGCCTCTCTCGCTCCCGTGCGCTGCGGCGGCCTACCTCCGCGGCGCGGCTGGCGCCGTGCCTCGCACAATCCACGTGCACCACTACAGAACTTCTATGCCCATTATTGCAACGAATTGCAACTGCGAACTATTCGATGGCTTTCCCCGGGAGGCGGGTAGCTGACCAGCTGTCCGTGCGTTTCTGTGACTTTAGCAATGCATAAATCACGTTATTACACTGTATACGACTGCTGGTAGTATTTAATCGATTTGAACCGGATTCCATCGCGTGATGGTTTACGGGCCGTAGGGCAGCTGTTCGCTCTGTAGGTCGGGTCGGCGAGGCAGGTGTTTCGAGCCACCGGATCGGAAGCGCGCGCCGGCGACATGCAGTGTAGTGTTTATATATCCTCGAGCGAAACGCACACCCCCGCCTGGTGAAATGCAATCTCGGCGGGAAGGACAAGCCCGCCCTTTCTCTCCCAGGCCTTCTTAGAAAGCCCACACAACAACTCCTAAATGACTGCGCGACCCGGCCCGGCACATCCGGCCATTCACAAAGGCTGCCGGGACCGGGTCCGAGTGTGGCAAGAAACGGGCGAATAATTGGAAATATCCACATATTTTAAGGCGAGCGCGCGAACCTTACTCGGGCCCGCGCGCCGCGGCCGGCGGCCCGCGCGACTACATAGTAACGCCGCGGTGGTGCGATACGGGCCGAGGGCCAAGGTCAGCGCGCCCCTCGCCCACCCTCGCCCCCCGGCGTCGGGTCGGGCTCCCGCGGGGCCCCGCGTCACTGCCTGCGCTCACCTGCGGCCGACCGCGGCCAACTGCGGCCCGCGGCCCTTGCAAGGGTCCCGGCCGCCGGCCGGCCGACCCGGCCCGTGAGCGCCGGCAGCTGCAATACAGCACAGCGCGTGTCTTTCCCGGGATGAAAGCCGCTGACGGCGGCAAGCAATTTGTCGAAGCTGCTGCGCTTGTTGCGGCCGTAGAGACACCGAACACCTGCTACCCGGCGGCGTCTGATAATCCCATGCGACAGTATGTGCATGATATCTATTCGCGAAATTTCTGAAAAATCTAGTCAAGAAGAGCTCAACATGACAGCGACGCGCATGTCCTTACTGAGGGCGGCTGTTAGCCCGATGGAAGTTTAGGTATTAGATTTGCTTTATGAAGACTTTCAGAGTGACGTAATTTCGATGAAAAGTAAACCTTCCCCACTTCCACCAGCACGCGACGAGGCACCGGTGGGATCTCATTAGTGAATTGTATCTGCCACCATCATCACCACCGCCGACCGCCGTCGCCACGCTCCGCAGCGGCAGGTGCGGGGAGGGAGTGAATGGAAGTCGCGACCGCAGAGCTCCGCGGAGCGAGCGGGAATCTTACTTCCAGCAACTTCGCGAGGCTAGGAATGCCTCCAACCAAGAGATCGGTTAGAATTTTCCTACAACAAAACTAGCGCAAAACTAGCGCTCGCCCAAATTTAGGGCTTTCAAAGAGTTATTCTCTATCTGTCGGCACGGGCGCGCGGGCGGAACCGGATCAGCCGGATGCGATGAGCGAAGAACTCACCCAGAGCCTTCATGAAGTCGTCGAAGTTCTCGCTCGAGTCGAGCTTGTACTTCTTGTTGGCGAAGGCTTGCAGGGCTGCCATGTTGTCTGGTACGTCCTGGCTGGAGCGGGGGCAGGTGCGGTGCGCTGATGAGGTCCTGCTCGGTCGGCGGCAACGGCGGCAGTAAAGTGATCCTGGGCTGCGCGGCGGCCGCGGCGAGTCACTCACTCGACGGCGTCGGTCGGACCATCGCGGAGGGGAGGAGGGGGGCCCTTCACGCTCCGGCCCGGCCCGACCGAACACGAGGGTCCCCCTCCCCCCGCACTACTACGGAGGGTACGGAGGGTCCCCCCCC